TCAGCCTTCCACTGCCACCCTAAGTGACTTCCTGAGAGGCTCCTGGTAAGCATACTATCTCTACTTTATTACATTTCAGTCTATAGATCATTTCAGTATACCACTTACATATGCAGTATACATTTCACTTACAGAGTGATGCCTGGCAGTTCACCCTTAATTCAGCTCTTCAGCTAAAGCAAAAATAAGAATGAGAACAATTATCCAGTAAACTTAATATTTTTACTTGTTTGCAATGACCATGGATGGTCTCTAGATTGGCACTTCATGAGGGTAGGGATTTTGTGTTATTTCTGTATCCATCCACATCATCTAGCCCCGTGACAGAGTATGCTCAGTCAATGCTTATGGAAATAGTAAATGGATGACGGAAAGATACACTCGGTCACTCTCTCTTTCTCTTCCTCATTTGGTCCATGAAGACTCCCTAATGACCACTCTACTTTATTCTCACAGTACTCATGGTGAGAATCAATTCAAGTTTATGAAAGAAGGAGGCATCCTTGGGAGGGACTACTCATTTCATGCTAGCCAACAGCACAGGAAATTTGGTTTTCAAGCCCAACTCTTTGAACTATTCTGTTCTGTCTGAACAGCTCAATATGTGTCGCATTAGATTGCACCATATGAAATAGTCTATTTTTAACCATGTTTGGCCTACAAAGAGGTAAGTCACATTAGAGACTGCACTGCTTTCAGCATGGCTTGGTGGAAGGAACATGGCGATCAGATTTTGGAGTTTTCCATGCAAGTCTCAACACTGTGAAACTTTGGAGAAGCCACTTACTCTATTCATGTCTCCTTTACTCATTCAATAAATATTAAACTTATATCCTATGCAAGACGCTGGGGAACACTAAGATATATGAAACACAGTTTCTGCCTTCTTCAGGCTCCCAGTTTACTTGGGGAGATAACATTCACCTGCAAAACACCACAATCCAAGGCAGAGTATAATGGCACCCAAGTTGCCCCCTTTTTTTAATTAACTGCATTCTGAACAAGAGAAATTACTTCCTGCTGTAATAATCAGGAAGGGAATATAGAAGACAGGACAGTTGAGCTTGGGATTAGAGGATGATTAAGTTTCATTAAGCAGAGACTTGGGGGAGGGAAGTTCAAGCAAGTGACAGGCAGGAGTGAAGGTGCAGAGGCTGGAAAACATAGTGCTATTTTGGTATGGCTGGACAGATGGCTTGTGTGGGCAGACAGTGGGAGAGAAGACTACAGAAGCCTGTTTCTTCCACGGCATGTAGTAGGCACTTTTTCATTTGAGTTGTTACATTGGATAAATGAAATAAGAAAGATTAGTAGAAAGAATCTCAGAATGGAAATCAGGAGACCAAATGTCAGCTTTGTCACCAATTCTTGGGGCTCCCTCAGACAAGTCACTATGGGGCTGCATTGTCCTCAGTTGCAAATGGAGATAATTTGACTAGTCTCTGTGTGTTCCTAAGAGTTACAAGGACAAAATGAACAATCAGAAGGAAAACTCTCCATAAAGGAAAACTGTCGTGCCTTTCCCCTTAACATGAGTTGCTATGAATTAAAGTTAAGTTGGAAACTCTCAATAACAACAGATGTATGTACCTTCTTCCTAGGGTACTTGTTGCATGGTAATCTAATTTTTCAGTAACAGATGAAAAATAAAAAAGTCCAGATTGTGATCACCTGAGTCAACCAAGAATACAACAAAGTCTCTTAGATGCAGGCATGGACAGTATGGAAATGGCTGTTCAAAATCAAATGAAAAGCCCATTGTGATGCCTGGAAAGAAGCTAGAGGAGGAAGCCTCCTGGAAGTAGGAGATTGGATGGAGGAATTCATTGAACCCAGGAATGTCATCATACAGCAGTAGCCTCTTGCTGTCCTTCCAGTTCTACCCTTGCTCTAGCAGCTCATGATCCAGGCACAGGTTGCTGATACAGAGCAGGAAGAAATACTCATTTCTTTGCCAGTGACTTACCTGGAGCCAAACTACTTTGGCCGCCAGCCACAAGGGCAGGATGGGTGTGCCTCCATCCCGGCTTCTTGGATGAGCCTTGCTCTTTTCAGCCAACTTTCCTTGGCTCTTAGGTTCCAGGATGGACTCTAGCAGAACAGCCCCGCTTTTCCCAAACAAGATTTGTTTTGACAGATTCTCCTCTGCTGACTCAAATCAGGTCAGATGCCTGCTGAGACATCCCCTACACAGATCCCCAGGGCCATGGCTTCTTTTGGTGTTTACACTCTGTGGATTTGAGAAGGCTGCTAGGTGGACAGACCCCTCTATGTGGCACTGCCAACAAAGCCTCAGGGAGGAGCTGCAATCTTCTGGGAGGCTTTCCTTGATGCTCTGATCAGAGCCACTGCCAGCTGTTGGATCAGTGACCAGGTGAGCTTATTGCCCGCAGTACAGCGAGTTGTCCTGGAAAATCCAGGCCACCCCTCTATACGTCAGAGCCTCAAGGACTCCACTTTCTGTCATGGAGTAACTCCCCAGGCATCTTCTTCTTTCTAAGAAAACACTGGAGTCTCCATCTTAGATAGAGTTCTTAGGCAGTTCTAGAAAAGGAAATGAAGACTGGGTGGCCATGGAATTTGGAGCTGGGCAGAGATGCCTGGCATCTTTCCACACTGTAAGCATCTATCTTTTCTGTTCCCTAGGCAAGGTGATTTGGGGCCAAACTCAGATGTCTCTGATTGGAAGAATCCTGTGCTCCCTCATCTGACTTGGGCCCCATCATGAAGAAGCAAGAGTCACAAGAGGAAAAGTCCAACCTAGTGGGAAAGTGCCTAACATCGTGCAGAAGGTCAATGCTGCCATTTACCAGGTATGGGCAAGACAAGGACAACCAATGTTGCTGCATATAAAGACTTAGAGCAAAATAGCACTTGTCTGGACCCCTTGAGAAAATTTCTCTTAAAATTCAAGTGAGCAAGAAATATCCAGTCCAGGGAAATTCTTCACCATGGAAGTTTCCTGGTCTGGAAAACAATACTAAAAAATCCTCCTTTCTATCTGGAAGTAAAAAATATCTGTCATTTCCTTGTGTGCCTGTCACTTACAACAATATTATTTCAGAAGGATTGGATGGTGCTCATGGTGTGTTTCTTTACCACAAGGTGGATGAGTTTCAGAAAAGTATTGTTTATGGCATTTGAGAGTCTATTATAGTAAAAGAAGCTAAAGGTTAGGCCCGAGTTATGACTGCAAGTCGACAAGCACAGAGCCCTGCATTGAGCTATTAACAGAGCTGGCATTTCACAGCAGAGCTGCCATGAGTGGGATCAACATTAATTAATAATACCTTGGCATACAGCAGGGCGTTGTTTGGCAGCTCAGAAAAGCTCTCGTCAAGATAGGCAAGGGTCTGAGTCTGGAGGGTGCAGATTTGCATGCTGAAGCATCCAGGAGGACCAGGGTGAAATTAGGTCTCTGAATGGTAGGGAGGAGAATGTTCTTGTGACTTCTGAGGACACAGTGAGATTAAGTAGTTGGGAATGCATGACTACACCGCATAGGGTTATATCACCACATGTTTGCAGTATATAGATTTATGTATTTGATTTTTCATGGCTTGTTTTTGTATAATGATATATATTTATAGTAGACATTTGTGTACCAAATTATTCTTTTCTGCCAACGTGGACTAGGCTAAAAATTTTAGGAAACATGTTTTTACCATTTTGGGGGGTTCA